GATAGATTCAAATGGTCCATCCAATACCAGACATAGCAGACAATAGTTGATAAGCGCTGTAATCCGATTCATTAATTTGGCTCAAATTAGCATTGAATTATTGGGAGAAAATGAAAATGACAATTTCTAATCATTTATATCAAATATGACAAGTCTAAATCATCACATGAAATGTAAAAAATTTGTCACCAGTCACTTTTCCTGTTGACAAATATTTTATAAATGCCAGAAAACAAAGAATTATTGGCTATGTTAATTATATACAAAGCAGGCAGACCATCCAGCACAGCCTCTATGAAGGCGCGACAATGTCAAATCATTATCGGATAATTATTGTCTTATAAAATCTAATGAAATTTTTGGCATCACTAACTGGTATTATGTTTTTTCTCCAATATTATTGTCTAATAATGTGCAAGTTAGATCATGGCTCCATGGTGAGACACTCATGCCTGGACAACTATGAGGGCAGTTGTCTAATAAAATCTAAAGGTAGACACGTCTGGGCAACTATTGGGGAAGATCGCTTTTCGTCTAATAAAATCTAATGAAATGTTGGCAGAGATGTCTAACTAGCATTTTTAGACATTAGACGATAAAATCGATTTTATCGATAATATCGGAGAAAAACGAACTGCCACAATATTTACTAAAAAAGAGATATCTAACTTAAACATTTTTAGACGATATCGTTGAAAAGTGCAATGTCACGCCTTCCTCAAGCATGGGCTCTGATCATGGAACTACAAACCCATGTAGTTCCATGCTTTGATACAGCAGGTCAATTTGCAGGAAAACAATGACTCATTAAAGTATGCAATGAAGGCCACGCAAATTGTTTTGCAACACCTCTTATCAGCTTAGTATAACCACATTGACAGTCAGTGTTGTGTCAATAAATAAATTATAAACATAAATAACCTTGGCTATTCTGAACAGTACCTTTAGATCTTATCACTGATTAGGATAAGTTTAAAGGGAAAGCATTATAATACCATGAAAAAACAAGTCATTCACTACTGAACAAAATCAACCGACTTTCCACCGAAGACCACAAAATTGTATACATGTACAGGGCAAGGCGATATGTTCATAGACATGTAACTGCCGAAAAAACAGTGAGCTACTCCAAATACAGAGCAAAATGCGGAATTGACTTGTATATCAAGTGGTTCATTTCACATTTACAAATTTGATGTTGCACAAACATTCATATGGTTATGAATTTAACCACAGTCAGCTGGTGCACACGTGATAATAAAATAAGTACGATATTTACTATATGGGGGCCGTCATTTTGAATGACGCATAAAACTAAATAAGAGTCTTTTATTTAGTTTTATCCATTCAATTACAGTCAATCGTATAGGAATAAATCTTTGTGAATCAATGGGCATTAAAAAATTATTCAAAAGTGAATTCTCTCAGTGCAATGCACCTATCAGCATCATAAGCAGTAGGTCACTTAATCCATAGTCCATTGCTTCTAGCATCCTCTTTCAGGTGACAATCGCACTTTCGACCTTTATCCTAATTTTGAATAAACAATCGTTAAAACAAGTAATTGCAGTGAATGTTAAAAATTTGCATGAAATCCGTCATGATCCGGTTCCAATAGGGAAGAAATGCTTGATTTGGGGGGATTGTCGAACATTAAACTGGTCACCATTCAGCCATCTTGAGTAGTGGGAGGCATAATACAAGTTTGAATATGATTGGGCATATCTTTGACTCAAAGATATAGCCATTGATAATGACAGTCCCTGTTGGAATTAAGCGAAATGTTATTCATGTCAAAAATAAAGTAATATGCACCAAAAGCAAGGATAATAATTTAGAGTGAATACTGTAAAATGACCAATTTTCACTGGGTTTAAATTTCACTGATTTACCATTTCAGGCATATTCAGTGGGTTTTAAATTCACAGTTGCGTCATTTAGATAATGTGTTCTATGCGAAATTTTACATATTCACTGGGTTTTAATTTAGCGCATTTTCCAGTCAGCGAAATAAGCTAAATTAAAACCCAGTGAATAATTGCCCCCTTTACAGTAATTGGCTGGTCTAGTATAAACAAAAATTAGATGTATTCATTGACTCTTCCAAAATCGTGATATATGGTCAGAAATTCAACATGATATTCATGCATTTTTTTTGTATCCAAACTGAATTTCATTTGTCCAGACATGTATTTCAACATGTATAATGTTTGTATTAAATTTGAAAACTGAAAAAATAAATTAAAAAAAAACAAGCAGCCTATCGGCTGAGATAACTCCGCTGTTAG